CATCAACAACAACAACGTCAACAACAACAACAACAACAACAACATCATCAACAACAACAACAACATCAACAACATCATCAACAACAACAACATCAACAACAACAACAACATCAACAACAACATCAACAACAACATCAACAACAACATCAACAACAACAACATCATCAACAACAACAACAACATCAACAACCTCATCAACAACAACAACATCAACAACAACAACAACATCAACAACAACATCAACAACAACATCAACAACAACAACAACATCAACGACGACAACGGTGACGTCATCATCCGATTCATAACGTCACAAAACCCTCTGCCGAATACTGTAGCCGACTTCTGGACGATGGTCTGGCAAAATGACGTCACATGCATCGTCATGTTGACTGATAACTTCGAAAATGGAAAAATGAAGTGCTGTCTGTACTGGCCAGATGATGTTCTACTGGTGGAAAATTTGTTAGTTGTGTTTGTTCATTCACTCGTTCGTTTGTTCATTCGTTGGTTAATAAATAAATTAATTAGATAATTAATTAATTAATTCATTTATTTGTCTATTTTTCTGCCTGTCAAGATACCACATCAAATTGAGAGAAAAACACGTCAACGATCACGTCATAATCTCCATTCTACAACTGACCAATCAGCAAACAGGAGAATCCAGATTGACCTTTCACCTTAAATTCTTGGCCTGGCATAGTTTATTGACCTTTGCGAACTTTGATAATTGCGGCGGTGGTTATGATGAAGTTGATGGTGATGATGGTAATAATGGAGTTTGGAGTATTTTAAAAGTGAGTTTCACTCATTTATTCATTTTTTCATAATTTTTTCAATCATTCACCCATTCATTCGTCCATTCATTCATTCATTTATTCCTTTTTTTATTCTTTCATTCCTTCGCTGTTTTACCTTCGATTAATAAAAAATAAAAACATTTAGTTGGTTGCACTGTCCATGAAAGTTCAACTGAAAAAAAGCCACAAAAACAACAACAACACCACCAATACCAACAACAACCACAACACTACCAACAACAACAAAATCAACATCAACAACAACAGCATCAACAACACTACCAACAACAACATCAAAAACACCGCGGCATGTTTCCGGGTCCAGGGAAAAAATTCAGCCCCCCTATTGGTCCACTGTGAGACGGGCATAGGCAGAAGTGGCGTTTTCCTAACAGTCTATATGTGCGCCAGTTACATTCTTATGAATAAGAAGGTTGGTTCATGGATTGAATGATTGGTTGGTTGGTTGGTCGATTGATTAGTTGGATGGTTGGTTTGTTGATTGGCTCCATTCAGTCACTCATTAAATGATTCTACTCATTCTGCTCTTCATTCGTTCGTTCGTTCGTTCGTTCGTTCATTCATGCGTTCGTTCGTTCATTCATTCATTTATTAACCCACTCAGCCAACATTTATTTATATATTCGTTCGTCCGTTCGTTCGTTCGTTCATCCGTTCATTCATTCATCCAGTTCGATATAAAAGAGATAGCAGATAGACTGAAAGAACAGAGAGAAAGAATGATACAAACAAGTGGTCAGTATCGTCTGTGCTACTACATCATCATTAACCTTTTGATGATGATGAAGAAGAAGATGATGATGAAATGATGATGAAGAAGAAGATGATGATGAAATGATGATGAAATGATAATGATGAAGAAGAAGAAAATGATGATGAAGAAGATGATGATGAAGAAGGAGAAGAAGATGATGATGATGAAATGATGATAGTTAAGACGGCGACAAAATTAAATAATTGATTTCTTTTTAAACAAAACTAGCGTTTTTTAATTGATTTGAATAAACTAAACAATGTATATATATATATATATATATATATATATATGTGCATATGTGTGTATATGTGTGTATGTCTATATGTGTGTGTATATGTGTGTGTGTGTCTATATGTGTGTGTGTGTGTGTGTCTATGTGTGTGTGTGTGTGTGTGTGTGTGTGTGTGTGTGTGTGTGTGTGTGTGTGTGTGTGTGTGTGTGTGTGTGGATGTGTAATAAACCAACAACGAAACGTTCCGATTTCAGAAAAAAAAACTAATAAATATACCAAATCTATGGGTAGAACGACATGGCAAAACAATGACATATTTATATATATGTATATCGAAATGTTTGTACGTGTATGTATGTTTGTGTGTGTGTGCGTGTGTATGTGCGTGTGTATGTGCGTGAATTCTAAGAGAAGATGCACCTCAGTTGTGAAATAAAATAATATAATAGTATATACATAACAAGTAACACGAAATAACGAAGTAATCGTGATATAACTACGTGCTATTTTTATACGAGTGAAGTGAGAGAGTGAGTGAATGGGTGAGTGAGTGAGTGAGTGATTGAGTGAGTGATTGAGTGAGTGAGTGGAGATTGGGTGAGTGAATGAATGAATAAATGAATGATCGAACGAACGAACGATTGTAAGGTGAACGAACGAACAATTACAACATAACATAACATAACATAACATAACATAACATAACATAACATAGAGTAACATAATATATTATACACTGACTGAAGGACTAGTATTAAAAGTATTGGTTCTACTACCTCTAAACTAAATAAAAGGAGAAAAATATTATGAATAAAACGTATAATACAATTTAATATAGCATGTCTTATATAGATATAACATATTCTTCTCTCTTTCTCTCTCTCTTCTCTCTTTCTCTCTCTCTCTCTCAATTTCTTAATCTCACACCTCTACTTCTTTTTTATTCTTCCTCTCTCTCTCTCTCTCTCTCTCTCTCTCTCTCTCTCTCTCCAATCGAAATACTAACTACAATATTACTAATAATGCAGTAATCATTAAAACAAAATTTAAAATGCTTAACAATATGTATATATATACATATTATTGTGTGTATATATATATATATATATATATATATATATATATATATATATATATATATATATAGTAAAATGAAGTATATATCCATATAAATGAACGAGCAAACGAACAAGAAGAAAAAAAAAGAATTAAAGCAATGAACAAGTGAAACATTGCTTAAAAACAGAAGATTCACGTATCCTGAATTGATAATAATATAATAATTATTATTTATACTATTATATTAAATTATAATAATTATTATTAATTTTTTCAACAATTAATATCTGAAATTTGCAGTTTAAAAACAAAAAACAAAAAACATTGCATATATATATATATATATACACACACACTTGGTTAACATTAGTATAAGAATGATATTATAAAATGAGTAACAGTGTGATCACTAGCAGATATATGAATGGTTGTATAACTCAGTAAGAAAATGAATGGATGAATGATGAAAATGAACGATTGAATAAATGAATGAGTGAGTGAGTGAGAATGAATGAATGAATGAATGAATGAATGAATGGATGAATGAATGAATGAATGAATGAATGAATGAATGAATGAATGAATGAATGAATGAATGAATGAATGAATGGTCAAATGAATTAAACATGGAAAAAATATATAAGTATATAGAAACTCAATAATAAGAACCAAAAGAAAAATAATTCAGATTTAATGTTGACCAACACAAATAAAAACAAAACGAAATAGATAATCTTATATAATTAATAAAATAATTTAAAAATATTACACATACACACAACACACACACAGACACACGCACGCACACACATGCACACACGCACAATTACAATAGATGTGATAATAGAAACAGCCCAATCAATATTCTCATAGACACCAATATAATTATACTCACCTAAACATAAACAAATTCATTCATATTACTAGTGACTTTTAAATTATCAGGCCGACTAAGTAGCTTATAATGGGATTGACTTTTGTGATAGAAGGTCGCTTAGATTAGAATACTACTGAATGATCATGTAGATAGTATCATGTAAAATTACTCTTCGGGTAAATTTTAAGGACAATTTAAGTACAATTTAAGCACATTTTAAGTACGATTTACGATTTAAGTGAAAATGTAAGTAAAAATTTGAGTTTAGGTAAAATTAAATATCGGCTTCATGGCCTTCCTGTCTGACTTACTCCTCTGAAATGATAATGAAGATGACGTCAATGATGACGATTTTGATGTCTTTGGCGTTGACGCTGATGAAGTTCTTGATGTCTTTGTTGTTGTTGATGATGGTGTTGTTGTTGATGATGATGAAGTTATTTTTGTAGAATCACTATCAGCCCCCTTCGTTGATTTGTTGTGTTGTGCTCTGTTGTCATGTTGAGCGGATAATGATGATGACGGTAATGATGATGGTGTTGTTGGGTTACTCTCCTCAATGACGACACCAATTCTACTTGATGATGGTGACGATGACGACGATGTTTGCAGCTGTTGTTGTTGAAGTTTGATCCCCAGCAGACTGCAGTACGTTGTGAATCTTTTCAGCTGTGGAGAGACGGAAAATCAAAACTTTTCCTTTATACAGTAATTCAAGTAACCATCAGTGTCAACAATGAACATTAACATTACCTCTACTGCTGCTTCTGCTATAACTACAACAACAAACTGCTACTGCTACAACTGTTGCTGCTACTTCTCCTACTACTGCTGCTGCTGCTACTACTACTACAACTACTACTACTACTACTACTACTACCACCACCCCTAACAACAACTACTACTACTACTACAACTACTACTACCACCACCACTACTACAACAACAACAACTACTACTACTACTACTACAATCACCACCCCTACTACTACTACTAATACTACTACAACTACTACTACTAACTACTACTACTACTACTATTACTACTACTACTACCACTACTACTACTACTACTACCAATAGTGATACATACCATTACCAGTGCTACTAAAATAGTAATTAAAAATAAATGAAAGTGCGTAATAAAGAACATGGAACATCGAGCTAACTTCAAACTCCAGGAACCTTTGTTTCTCTTCGTGGTCGCTGATGACGTTTGTCTTGGAACCTTTAGGTACTTCCGATTGCTTATGTACTGCCAATTCTTCACTGACTGTCGAGAGGACTTGTTGAAATTTTTTCAACTGCTCTGGCTGCGTGGATTTTAATGAAAAAAAAAATACTTTTATAAAAATATCTCTTAAAATAATTACAAAATCAATCAATCAATCAAAAATATGATAAATAAATATATTATAATAAATTCATAAATTATAAATGAATTATTAATAAATTTATTTAAAAAATAAAACAAAATCAAAAATGAAAAATAATTACAAAAATTATAAAAAAAATTAAAATACTGAAAAAAATACCAAAAATTTCCAAAAAAATACCAAAAATACCAAAAAAATACCAAAATAATTACTCACCAGGGAAAGCTTCGTGACGGAACAGGGCATGAGGGGACGCTGGAACTTCTTCTGTGAGCCGACGGCACCCGGAAGTGGCGCCGACGACAGCGTAGCAGCCACCAAATTGATCGTCGTCATCCACGCCTTGCACTCCGAGGCGTCGCTGAGAAAAGATGAAAAATTAATATTAATGAAAAAAATTATGTCACTGAGTTATGTAAATATTATTATTATATTTGATATAGTAATTATTAGAATAATTAATTTTGTTATAATTATTATGCAGCGCTATAATTTATCGTATCATCATCATCATAATAATCATCTCTTACTCCTCAAGACAATCATTAAAAATGGTTACCAACGCAACGACCACAGCGCCAGCCACACTACCACCACAAACTCCCACCATCACACATTACCACCACACGCTACCACCACACTACCACCACACATTACCACCACAAACCACTACACACGCCACTACCACACACCACCACCACACACACAACCACCACAAAAACGACACGCCAAACCTTGTCTGAAAAAGGAACTGAGCCGAATCGCAGGTATAAAGCCTGAAAACGTGCTGCTTTTTGTGGTAGTCGTCAGCTTTCTCGGCGTAAGCATGGTGTAGTCGGACGGCGTTGCTGCTGTGGTGGTGGTCCTGGAGTGAGGAGTGATCCGTGCGTTTCGGGATATGCTCGTCTTTGTAGAGGAAGAGGAATGTGTCGCGGATCGTCGCGTAGTACATCCGCCATCCCCTGCGTCCCATTGAAGCTAAAGTGGGATTAAAAGGATCAACTAATTTAAATAATTTTTTTTTTAATTAGAGCGAGTTTTTAAATCAAAGTTCCGATCAAAAAACGAGTATTTAGATTTATTTTTATGTAATTATTGAAAACTGCAGACTCTCAAGAAACCTTTCAAATACTAATCAGAACCCAGCATAAAACAATAGGTACATTATAGCCAATAGATACACGGAACGCAAAATCGCTCTTTGAAATCGCTCCATGTACAGTATAATCAGATGGATACATGGATACATGAATAGATGATATATGGATAGATAGATGGATGATGCATGGATAGATGGATGGATGATACATGGATGGATGGATGATACATGGATGGATGACACATGGATGGATGATACATGGATGGATGATACATAAATAGATGGATGGATGGCAGAAAAAAAAATGTTATCCCTCCCACCAACTTTTATGTCCGTCTGAGTCCATGCAGCACTTCCTCATGACGTACCCGCGCCTGAACTCCTTCAAAAGTTTCAAGTCTGGAACCTTAACGTCGAAAATTACTTTAAATTTCATCATTTTTTAAACCTCTTTTAATCAATCAAATGTTTGTATTTATTTAGTCTGAAAATTCGTTAATTCATCATAATATTCATCATAATATTCATCATAATATTCATCATAATACTCATCATAATTTATTATAATTTATGAATTATTAGAAACTAGAACGGTCTACAGACGTGCAAAAATGGATTGGCACCAATAGGAGCCGCCGCCGTTGATGACGTCATAACTGATTCGTCCAATAGCAAATGAGAGCCATCTTCACTTTTGAAAAATTTGTTCATAGATAATGAGATATTAAAAAAATATTTTTTATCCAAACTGGAATGAAAAAACTGAAAAAAGCAGATAGGGAAAGAAACATATTCGATTTAGTTTAGCCAAAACCGAAACTACGGGTTAAGTTTAGTTTCACTTTCTAAACTTAAAAATAGCTCATCACATAAATTATAACTTACATGTAACACTCAAATGGGTTTTTACAGACAGACGTGTAGACTTGCTTGAGGAGTTCTCTGGGAAAGTCCATTCCGTCGTTGAGGGATGACAGGTTGTCTATGAACTCCTCTTGCGTCATTTTGCGAGATACCATCTGGTTGATTGATTGATTGATTGATTGATTGATTGATTGATTGATTTATTGATTGATTCACTGAAGTGAAATGATTGAGAGTTGGATGAACTAATAAGTAGACAGACTAAATAATGAATTGATCAATTAATTGATTGGATCATAGGAGGAAGTTTGTTTAACAATTAGTCAATCAGTTGGACAGGTAGTCAGTCAATCAATCAATCAACCATAGAATCATTCAATCAGTTGGTCAATCAATCATTCAGTCAACCAATCAATCAACTAATTAGTGAAACAACCAATAAAAAATCTCAAAACCAATGAATAAAGAGATAAGCTACCTGGCTGCAATGATCTGTGTTTAGTAGCATCATAGCACATATCAGAGTGTGACAAGAATCTAATGAATGATTGAATGAATTAATAAATGAATGCATGAATGAATGAATGAATGAATGAATGAATAAATGAATGAATGAATGTATGAACAAACGAATGAGATCTAAGACAAGAAAAAGTAAGCAAACCACAAATTAAAAACAATTGAAAATCCCAACCGTCAGAGAGAACAAAGTCAGGATTACACTGAAGGAATCTGTGAGAAAAATGGGCCAGTACCCTCTCCCTCTCTTGGGTCTCGCCAACTAGGGTCACCCTGCCCAGAAAAACCCGAAGGGCCTCGTCCAATTTCTGACTTCTGAAGTCAAAATTCTTTAAATATTCCTGACCCACTAAGTTTGAGAAACTGTCTCTACCGTATATGAGGGAAAAATGAAGAAAAATGAATTTAAGTAACAACAAAATAATAGCCAATGTCATTAAATGGAAATGATTTCTTGTCATAAAAAAAGTGAAGTGAACTTTTTTCCAAGATGTTTAGCCACATCTGTCTTGTTGAAACCGTCGAGTTTGTAAAGTCTCTTGGCTAGCCTCTTTGCCGATGGAAAATCAGCATCTTTAGAAGTTGGATTCTTGGAGGAGGAAGTAGTTGGGAAGACGTTGACGTCATTAATGACGCCATCACGGTGATTCTGTTTAATGTCATCGTCGATTTTGTTTCTTAGTTGATGTTGTTGTTTCATTGGCGAGTTTAGTTGGCGTTGCTGTTGAAGTTGTTGTTGTGTGGTGGGTGGAGTTGGTTGTTTTGTTGTTTGTGATGGGCTGTTGTCTGGTGCTACTGTGGAGTAGTTGGTTGGCGACGAGGTGCCTCGAGACGAACAAACGATCACCCCCCTATCACTCAATGTTTCAAAAGTATCCAAATATTGATCATCGTCATCGTCATCATCGTTAGATCTATCTAAGACTTTGTCTTTTGTGTTGTTATTATTATTATTATTGTCTGTCAATAAGACAATACTGGCTGTTTCATTTAGGCTGCTCAATGAAAAATCAACTTTTTTTGAGGAATTAAGAGCATCGATAGAAATGGCCCCAAGATCCTCATAAACGGCCGCCTCAAATTCAAAACTATTCTCAAACTGCAAATAATTATCTTGACTCTTATAGGCCCGATTAGCGTACTGAAAATTAGTGTTTAGTAAATTAGTTGTGGCGGCTATGTCCACCAATGTCTTTTTAACATCCTGCGTGAATGAGTCACAGCTCTTATGCCTGGTGAAATCCTTATTCGAGCTGTCTAGCTCATTCAATTTCGACAACTGAGTTGGAGTTAGGAGAATGTTTGATGTGATTGTCGGGGGCACGAAAAAATCTTCCGGAGGTTGTGGCAGGCCGTCGATATCAAGAGTATCTATGTTTCTACTGTTGTATTGTTCATCCTCAAAGGATATATCATCTGGGGGTATATCTAATGTTACATAGTTATAGCCCTGAAAGTGTTGTGGTGTATTTGAGGTTAGGAAGTCCGGCCTGATTTTACCAATACTGCTGTCCTTTGTTTTATTTCTATCATTTTTATTATGTTGTTGATCATTAATTCTACTAGAAGAATCAATATTATTTTCATTCTGTCGTGGAGATTTTAAATTTGTACCTGAAAGTTGACTAGAGGGTTTAATATCTACGTTGTTGTGGTGGCTATTTTGATTCCCAGCAGAAGAAGATGAAGACACAGACGAGTTTTGCTTCTGCTGATTAGTAGTTCTTCTGGGAGATTTTCCATGTGAGATGCTGCCAGTCTTAATAATGGTGTCTCCAGTCATCACAAACGTCTCAAATCGCTGCTTATTGTGGTTGTTGGAAGCGGCCATTTTGGTCCTGTTTCCGTTTTCTCTCACTAACTTCTAACTACCTAACACTTGTTTATTATTTATTCATTGATTTTTTTTTCGAAAATGTCGAATAAATGACAAATTTTATTTTAAATAAAAAACCACCGACTCAATTTTTAAAATCTAAATTTTGGTGAAATTAAAAATTAAAATCTCGCAAATAAAAACAACAACAAAACGAAAACAAGACTTCCAACAAAAAAAGATTACCGAGACAGCCCTCAACTCAAATGTTTCATTCAGAAAGCAAAGTCAAGCCAATCTATTTAATGAAATAATGAATAAAATAAATAAATTATGGAAATAATCGATTATAACTTTTTAATGTTTTATAAATTTCAAATAAATAACTATTTCTTTTATATTGAATTTGTTATTAATCATGGAAAACATTAACATTCCATGTGAATAATGGTGATTATTTTTGAAATTTTTTACACTTTTTCGTTAAATTTTTGCTTTATGTCCACCCTTTTAATTTTTTTTTCAAACAAATGTCAAAATTGTTTCAGGATAATTCGAATTTAATGAAATTTCTATGGTTAATCATCAGATTTAGCTTACTAATTAGCTTGTAGGATCAGATGACTATTTCTAAAATAGGTTGGACGATGAACAAGAATAAATCACTTATATTGTGTTTTGGAACTGTCAAGCAAACATACAATAACACACACACACACACACATACGTATACATACACACATACGTACACACACACACACATGTATACACACAAACACATACACAGAACATACATGCAAACTAACAAAGATGATGAATAAAATTTTTAATTTAAAAAAATATTGAAAATTAGTTATTAAAAATAGAGATTGGCCGAAAAAAATATTAATTCAATAGTAAGCATCAAAAAAGTGAATGTTTTTAATAATGTAAAATTTGTTAAACGAATCTAAGAGGGCCCTTGAATAATTTATCATTTCTGAACATCACAGATTCAAACAAATAAACACAAACAAACACAAACAAACAAAAAAAATACACAAACGAACAAACAAAATAAACAAACATACAAAAAAGTTTAAGACAGCAAAACCGAAAAAAATTCACCGTGAAAAATTTGGGAAAAAAACTAAATGACACTTCAAAAATGACTTAACTAACAAAGAAGTTGGTGGGAAAAAATTGGCGGGAAACAAAAGCCAACCACGTGACTTGATTACTCGGGAGTTTGATGACGTGGTGCGTGGGTGCTTGATGAAGTGGCGCAAAAGCGGATAGGGAATAAATGAAC